TGATGGTCCTCCAATGATAGCTCGACGATATAGGTTTTTGGGACAGAAACTTTTAAAATGATCTGTTACTGGTGAAAACTATTAGAAACTTTAAGAATATCATGTTTTAAAGACCAGATGTTACAACAGAAACGACGGTGACTATGTACATCATACGGCAACCGTTATCTTATGTATTAATTGATATAAGCACGTTAAGTTTTTGCTTTAGGAACACTGTTTTACATGAAAGGCTCAATCTTACAAGCTGGTAATGACCTGTCTTGGAGATTATGCTAATACGGAGGTAGTAAGGAAGCTTGTTAGTAAATTGTATAGTATTTGATACTATTATTTGATACTAGTATTTCTCAAAAAACATTTCATGGCCATGTAGTAGAGTGACTATGACATGAAAAGTCTGATAAAAAATAAAGTAGGTGGGACAGTCACTGCAACAATCAATGCTTTATACCAAAATGTTCTTTAAAGTTTGTAGTTTATGAAATCATCGGCATAAATTGGCATAAATGATGGCTTTCAGGGAAATCCAAGAAGGCTACCGTGACGGCCGCTTTTGATATTGAATTTCAGTTCTAACTTTACGTAGCTAAAACCTTGTTTATAACTGGATAACTTTTCAATATTTGTCACGTATTCAAGTCACTGCAGTTAACTATAACATTTAAAACATATTTACATGCATGATTTCTATTTTCACAAAAATGAATTCCAAAATCTGCAAAAACAGTGATAAAAAGAAGTTTCAAAAAAGTTTGCTTTATGCAATGGATTAACAATACAATTTCTGCAGGAATTTCATATTATCCTACCAATTTAAGATTTAAGGATATGAATTGAAGCATACCTTTGTTATTCATTACTGTAACCGCTTTTTAACGTTGTTTTTTTATTTCTATTTTTTTATTGTTTTTTTTCCTGGAACATCGCAGAATATAAACAAGAAGGCCAAAATGGCCCTTATATCGTTACCTGATTATTTTGGCTCTGAATCAATATTGTAAGCAGTGGATAAAAGGCAGAATGATATAATGTAATAAACTTAAACTGATAACATAACATTCATATCGGCACCTGAAATAGTGCAAATTTAATGTTAATAACGTTTTTCCATATATGCCCTTTTATGGACCTCACATGATCCATTTTCAGACCTGAACTAGAAATAATTCAAACAACCTTTCCGACCAATTTTTACAATATTTGGGCTAAAATATAACCTCTAGAGTGATAATAAAGTTTTTCCATTTTTGGTCTATGTGAACTAGATTTTGAACATGGATGGCCCATGTTCAAAGTTGAGCAAGAAATCATAAAATAACCTTTCTTAAAGATTTTAGGATGTTTTGGGATGAAAATATAACTTCTAGAATGTAAAAAATATTTTCCATAATATTGGTCGTGTTATCTTGTTTTTTGACCCCAGATGACCTATATTCAAGCATCACCTAGAAGTCATCTAAATAGCCTATCTGGCTAATTTGCAGTGCATTTGGACCCTACAGTGTTAGTAAGGTTCTCCCATATTTTGACTGTGAAATCTAGTTTTTGACCACAGATGAAAATATTTGAACAATATTTAAACTTGAACTAGAACTCATACGACCAATTTCCGGGATATCTGGACCAAAACAGTACCCTCTAAAGTGTTAACCAGGGTTTTCAGTGTTTTGGCTGTATAATCTACTCTTTCACCCAAGATGACCCATATTGGAACTTGAGCTAGAAATCATCTTACACTCATTTTTTACCAATACCTAGGATATTTGGACAAAAACAATGACGTCTAGAGTGTTAGCAAAGTTTTACTATATTTGGGCTGTATGATCTAGTTTTCGACTCCTGATGACCCATATTCACAACTGCCCTAGAAATGATAAAAAACCTTTCTTACCAATTGCAAGGGTATTTGGACAACAACAGTAGTTTCTAGAGTGTTTTTCCATTTCGGAAACCTATGCCCACTGGGCTAAAGGCAAACTTCGAACAACTTTAAGAAAGGGCATTTAGGTCATATCATTGACCAAATATCAAAGCCTTAAATCTTTAAAAAAGAAGATTTTTTTTAAGTTTTACTATATGTATGTAATGAAAATCAATTAGCTCCGGGCTGGGGCCAATTTTGACCCCAGGACTAAAATGTGAAATATCTTGGTAGAGATCCACTACACAATGTTGTATGCCAAATATCTAACCTCTAGCCTTTGTCAATTCAGAGAAGATAATTTTTTATTTTTTACCATATACATATAAGGAAAATCAATGACCCGCTGGGGCGAGACAATTTTTTACCCCAGGGCTATAATTTGAAAACCAATGACCCCCTGGGGCGAGACAATTTTGACCCCAGGGCTATAATTTGAACATTTTTCTAGTTTCTTTGATGCTGCTTCACACATATATCTAAGAAATAGGCCTTGCATTTTTTAGAAGATAAGTTTTTTTACTATATGTACATAATGAAAATCAATGACCCCGAGGAGGGTCCACTTTTGACGCAATGGCTATAATTTGAACAATCTTGGTAGAGGTCTACTACACAATATTCATGAAAATATCTAATATGTATTTAATAAAACGCAATAAATCCATTTAAGAAAGTGCCATTGGACGTAATTATATCCTTTGAGAATGCCCCATTCTTTTTAGTTTGTTCACAGATTATGGTTTGTTCATGTTAACAAAGAGATCTGATTTCCTTGAAAAACTTCAAACTTCAAATTCTAATTACTTTAAACAATGATAAGCTTAATGGCTCGAGTACAGCTGACTTTTGATGCTATGTTCAGCTGCTTCAGCCTTAGTCTGGGATAAAGACAACATACCAAATGATGACTTTATCGTTTTAGCAACATATTGTCACATAGTCAAAGCACACTGCACTGTAGTTTTTGACAGGTATTTTTATACAGACTTAAAACATAAACATGCATAAATCGCGATGAAAATATTTCCGCTTTTCAGTCAGTTGTAATTGAGCCAAATATGGTGATAGGTGACTGGCAGAGAGTCTTATCCAGTACAAAAAGGTAAAAATGCACTGACAAAGTTCTTAACTAGGTATCTTGCTTAGAAAAGATATGCTTAGAGACCTTATAAGATTCAAGTACATACAGTTTTCAGTGTACTGCTTTAAGTATCATGTTTTCTGTGTATTGCCGCACAGGTTGTGATACCTGTGCATCTTTAGAGATAATGTGTAAGGCTGCTGATGATCTTAAAGATCTTTCTGACCTACGCAAAGATCCAGTCCTTTCAATGAATGCTAAACTGATGCATTTAAGTTTGTCGGCCTCCTGTATGGACATCATAATTGCACCTCCCTCAATGCTCTTTGATCATCCCAGGATCTTTGCAAAAGGGGGGATCAGACTCAGGAAATTACTTCAAACAAATGATAGGTTTGTTCTTCATTTACTGCGATGTATGAGGTATGATCAAAAAGTTATCGGCCCGATATACTTCTAGCCACTACACTGACATTTACACACAATACGTCGATACCGGTATCTTATTGAAGATGACTGACAGAGTTTACACAGATTTAGTATCATGAAACACACTTTGATCATTAGAGGGATGTGTCATTTAGACCAAATGGAGAAAGTTGAAATCAGAGCCGTCATTAAGTACCTCTGTAAGATAGGGATGTCCCACAAGGAAATCCATGAAGACTTCATAGATACACCTGGGAAGAAGTCCCCTTACTATAGCGTGACTGTGGAAAGATGGTCTGATGAAGAGGGGCAGGGAGAGCATTGGAGATGATAAGCGGCTTGGGCGACCAAAAGAGGCCACCAACGATGAAACTGCAGAAGTTGTGCATGATCTGGTCATGTGCGACAGAAGGCAAGACCTGCGAAGCATTGCTAGGGAAGTGGGTATAAGCTTTGGTTCAGTTCAGACAATTCTGGCATGTCAAAGGTTTCCGCTAGGTGGGTCCCCAGACAGTTGACCGACGACCAGAAACGGACTAGGCTTGACATTTCAAGATATCTTTAGCCTCGCTAGGAGGATGAACCTGATTGTATCTACCGGATCGTAACTCAGGATGAAACATGGGTCCATCACTTTGTTACAGAATCCAAAAAACAGAGCCTGCAGTGAAAGCACCCTGGCTCACCTCTCCGAAGAAATTCAAGAGGGTGCCATCAGCAGGGAAGATGATGGCTTCAGACTGTACAGACTCAATCAAATCGAGTCTGCAATTTTTATTGATTTTGTTGTGATTAATGCTTCCGAGGGCTATCTTTGTTTCCAAATTTCAATATTTTGGGATAGTCAGGGAATAATTATGATCTTACGCCAAGTCGTTCCATAAACGGTGCGTACTATGCAGAAGAATGAAACGTCTGCGTCAAGAAATCACGCTTAAAGGGAGGGGCAAACTGACTCAAGGCGTTCTGTTCCTGCACGACAATGCGCCAGGCTTAAACATCCCAAGTTGCGATTGCTGCTGCAACTGATTGCGGCTTTGAAAATCTTCCCTTTCCCCATATTCTCCGGACTTGGCCCCTTTGACCTCTACCTGTTTCCGAAACTGAGAACCAAGCTTCGTTGTAGACGTTTTGGATGAAATGAAGGTGTCATGGAGGTGGTCAATGAGTTCTTTGAGGACCAAAATATAGTATTCTATTTTGAAGGGTTAAACAAGTTGGAGCACAGGTGGGAAAGTGCATTTATGTAGAGAGCGATTATTTTGAAAAGTGCGAGCATTAGTTGGGTTCTCTGACTACCGCAAGTACATCGGACTGATAACGTTTTGATCAATTCTCGTAGATATCAGTTATGTGTATGGCTGTTATTATTAAAAGCTATAATTCCTCCACTTGATCCATTTGACTTTGGATATTTCAAAGACGAAAAGACACGAATATTCAGCTTATGACCAAACTTTCAGCCGCACTGGAACTTTTGAGTGATCTTGAATACACTTGTTCAGTGATGATTGGGTTTGACTCACATGACAATTTTTTGCATACTTATTACAACAGATAGGCTATAAATTTGATTGGTTTATTTATATCACGCAAGTACAATTTAATTGTGATTGATCATAAAATCCTTTCTTTGATTATCCGCACTGTACTTCTGCTCTATCATGAACAAAATATATACGTTCCTTGCGAAAGTAAAAGCAACTACTTGTGGTAAACTGCATTACTACATGCTCAGGAACGATTCGGTCAATAAACGGTACCACAAACTTCAAACACCACCACCATGAATCTGTCATCACTGGCGCCGGTAATACGGTGTGAAATACAAGTGATGATATCTTGAAAAATACCACTGAAATAATTTCACAATGTCTGCTCATTTCTGAAAAGCAAATTGAAATAACCAGTACATGATTTGAAGTCACACAAGGACAAGCTTCGGGGCAAATTTTAAGTGATATTGTTTCTTTTTCTTTAACTGTATTCTTTTTATTAGTAAATGAAATACTAATGATATCGATCTGAGATATTTGTTATCCTTGTCTTGTTATCATTTAACATTGAAATTATTAAAGAAATGCTTTGAAAACGACGACGATTTTTTAATATTTTTATACGTTCAATGTCTTCTTCATTGGGTGGTGGTTTGTCTTTATTCCTGAAAGTTTAGAATTATATTAAATCAATTGCAATTCGGTGGCTTATTACTGATGAAAAATGAGGTCAACATATAATGCGTTGTAAAATGATATTCTTATGACAATTAATATAAAAATATGTTCATCCTTAAAGAGCACATATGAAATGCATTCGTCCTCATCGATAGTAAACTCTGCTTTTTTTTTGTTAAAAAATGTAGAGAATGTTCTTACAAATTCGTAGAAGAAAGAAAATTGATGTGACGGTCAAAACAAGCGTTTTTATAATAATTTGTGCAATAATTCTTTTTTTTAACCGATGTGATCGGTTTTAAATAAACTAACAGTTTGATGTATTAAGGAGACAAAAAGAACAAGAAAAGAATAAGACATCATTTGCTGGGAAGCAGTTTAGCACACGTTTTTTAAGTATTGGTAAGGAAGAAGGTGGGACAATTATAGCATCAATGAACAACTTACGGATGGGTGGTGGTTTCGCCTTCCTATTCGTAAATTGCCTTGTTCTTCAAGCAGTCTTTAAAAAAAGATATATTGAGGATTTTACAATTCATATTATGTAAGAGACCATGTTATAATTATCATTTATTTAATGTTCATAGTCTTTAACGGTAAATGCTGGTATTGGTAATCATAATATGTAACAATAGCACACATGCTTTGGACAAGTCTGTTTTATTTGATTACAATGTTAAAATACCCTATGATAAAAAAAACAATATATATTTACGATGTGTAACATTAGTCTGCCGTATTACATGTATTAAAGTGGTTGTTTTCAAATAAACTTACAATTTAAAGCGAGCTGGTCTACAATAGAAACATTTTCCATAAATGTTTCAAATATTGATAAAAGTAATAGAAATGTATAATTTGAAAAATCTTATAAATATTTTTTGAGACAAAAAAGTTCTAAGTGATATTAAGTATGAAACGATATATGACGAGAAATAATATTTTTCTATAGGACAATATATTATGTACATGTATATCTATGTAAAACTCGGATCATGTTCATCACACATACAACCATCATCAATATTTCATTCAATACTAAACACCATTCACATTATGTTTTATATTATTACAAACCTTCCATTTTAGACCAATTTACTTGAATGTATTAAAATACGAAAGGGCAAGACATCTTTCTGTTGCAGGGCAACAGTTTAGCACCTACTGTTTTTTAATTGGCAATGAGTATATGTGCATTGAAATACTTACGGTTTGGTTGAGTATCTCTTCTTTTTAACAACATATTTTGTGTGTTTTCTTTAGTATTCATTTGCCTGAAAATGTATATTTTAGCGAAGTAAAATTCATAATGATCAGACGTAAAGAGACCGTTTTATTATCATTGATTTATTTGTTTAAGTTCCCAGAGATCAAAACTAGTTCTGCTAATAAGTACCATTATAACACCTCACTATTTTTGTAATGCTACTTTCCCATAAACCAATGGCAGTTATTCTTACTGTTAATTTAAGTGTACCATGCGATACAATTTTTGTATTCTTACCCTCACCATTTTTGTATGGCTAACGCCTCGGTAACAGTTTTTTTCTTGGGATGATATTTTTACTGTTACTCACAAACTTATGTGTCATTTATATACTATTAACGTAGCATGTCCCCAGATTCATGTCAATTTCCATAAACAATTTAAAAATGTATTTAAAAGTAAAGCGTTTATTGTGAAGTGTACAAAGAAAGTAGTTTACATATTGCAAACGGCAAAATCCACGTTAATGTAAATTATTGCTTGAATCTTGAATATTATACTTTTCTTTAAGTCTTCTTTTTCTTGAAATATTATGGCTCTTCTGGATCAACCAGGTTTAAATAAAACAAATACAAATGTAGTACTGTAGCCATAACATATGATGTAAGGAGGATATACATCCTTAACGAATGTTAAAATATATCAGAAAAAAAACACATCTTCATCATATTGAAATATTGTGTCAGGGTCTTATTAGCTCGGATGATACATCTTTTGTCACATTTGAAGGCCCACGATACCGCAGAGTTTCTTTTATTTTGATTTCTCAAAATCTTGTTATGTTAACTTTGTTATCCTGTTATAATTTCCAGGAAATCCCTATTGGCCAATAATTTGAACCATCTTTTGCTTCTTTGCCTTTTGGCAATAAAAATAGCTAAAGTGTTTTAGTAATTTGTATGGAAATCAAAATAAAACTTTGTTACATTTGATACTTTTACGCACATAATTTCACTTTCAGTGCTATTTAATTCATGAGATAAACTTTTAGTTATTTGTATGGAAATCAAAATAATACTTTGTTACATTTGTTACTTTTACGCACATTATTTCACTTTCGTGCTATTTAATTCATGAGATTAAAAAACTTTAAAATGCTCTAAAATCATTACCTAAACATTATAAAACTCATGTTTGCTCTTTTAAAAGGAGGGTAAGAAATTGGTTTCTGTGGCATGCTGTGCCTTTAATTCAAATGCATCACGTCACAACTGAATATCCGTTTACAATTGTGTTGCAACTGCTATATTAGCATTAAATCACAGTCAATATATAAAAAAGAGTGCCCGATTATTACTCATCTATGTGAGATATTTTTATCCATATAAAATCCTTTTATTATAGATATGACAAGGAAACCAAATAAAGAATTCCATACAAGTTTTGCACCAGTATACATGTATATTACATGTATTAAACTTATTCATTGAAAGGAAATTAAAAAGATTTTTAAAAAATCGTCACGATTTTCAAGTTTATCCTTATGTTGCATTAAATAAATTTCATAAAAAGAAATAGCTACATTTCATTAATTGAATGTGTTTCATATCGACTCCCGTTCTTAATTTGGTGTCCAGACAACCAAAATGAGTTTTATAAGCCAAAATTTCTGCAATTTCTTAGCAGTCCGAATTTAACAGTATATTTCCGCATTATATTACGGATGTTTTCATACAAATTCAATCTTTTTTATGAGTTTAACGACAGGGCTGATGCACCGCGAACCTAAAACAATAAAAAGTTGTTTGCACAACAATATCTCATATTTGCTGTGATACTCGAGTTTACCACTATGACGAAGCGCATACACGAGCTAGTTATTCTAGTCTTCATTTGCATGTTAAATTCGTATACGAACTTTAGTGTTACCGCGGGGTTTTCCTTTTAAAATCATAACTTATAAACAAAGTTTAATGAGATTTACAACAATACTGTTAAAAATTTTAACCGATATCAATTATTTTGCCTTTGGTTCATTAAATGTTTCCTGACTGCCTGATCGGTCACTTTAATGCTGTGAGATCCTTAATGTAATGTTTCTTTAATATTGCTAAACCAATTTTAATCAATTAAAATTGAATGGCTTGAATTGCATTTTCTAGTTTATCATAATTAAAAAATTAAATTTTAAGCTTATAAACTCACCTGACATTCTCTTTTTCTCGTTGTTTCCGACGTTTCAGCACAAAATATCTAGCAACCAGAAGAATAAATCCAAGAATAACACCAACAACACCAACAACACCAACAACAACAGCAACTTGTCCAATTACTGGTGCAATGTCGATCCGTTCATTATCTGCAAATGAAACTTATTAAATGTATCTTATATTGGAAGGACACGTCCATGTTAAGATTTATTATAGGCAAGACAAGTTAATTAGTGAAAATTCCGTAGGCTTAAAAAACCATGAGGACAGACATAATAAAGCAATTTTGGCTATAGAGGTGACAAACACCAACGCTGCTCCTTAAGTTACCTCAGGAGAATGACTAGATATCAGATAAAACAGCAACCCTTCTGTAAAGCAGACAAAATCTTCCTAAAATAGTAGTATATTCAGAGTCCTAGAATTTATTTAAGTCATACGAAAAGCGCATATAACAAGACATGCGATAAAAAGCTAAGAAAATAAGCGCATTTGATATACAGACATTTCTAAACCAAATTAGATATCGATTCTGAAATCCCTATTTACATGTATAGTTGTCTATTGTACTGATATAGAAGTAAGGCTTCAATTACAATGATAATATAAAAATGCATTGAACTGTTGATCATGATTATGCCCTCTCACATTAAAATACAGTAATAAGAGAGTTTCGAAATTTAGCATTTTATTAAGTAAATGAGCAGCTTTTGAGTAACAAATTATGAGTAAAATAAGTTCTACCATGGTCTTCAAAAATGTACTTGTAAGCTGTACTGTATGACTCTTTGCTTTCATTCCCATATACCGCTAAAATTTTCAAAAAATAGTTCCCATTGTCACTAGATTTAGCAGAAATGATCTCTGTATACTGTACTTGTTGATCATACCCGCAATCAGAATCATTCGAACACCTTCTTGTATAATTGGCATGAATTGTTGGTGTTTTTTCCTCCTCAATGCCACTACTAACCTACATAATGTGTAACAAATAACCTTTACTTTTTGTATTTAACTCACTTGACAGAAATCATGATCACATATAAAAACATATCACTATTTCGACCATTCTTATTTTTTCATTTATGATCGTATATAAATCGGTGAGAGGAGATGAATTTGTGCATTTCGATGAGTGAGAAGGTGAGCTTTTAGCATTAAGTCATTCTATACGATATTTAGTGTGGTGATTCAACACACTTTTAAGTCTTACTATTACTATTTTACTCTTTATAATCTTAATTATAAATACTTACTTGTTTGACAGTCATTAAGGACAGCTTCGCTGAAGAAGGACACTTTTCATCCCGATAAAAGTTCAAGTAATAAGGTAACCTTTTAACAGTGTTGTGAAGGTTTATAACGTCTAGACATTTGAGCAGGGTCAGTGTATTATAAAGTACAATTAATGTAATGGTAATGAAATTTATTTCAGTCTGTATATTAGATACATAGCGGACCTTAAATGACAACCACCGGACAGACGGATGTTCTGATGACAATATTTACAAGACAGGGTTATTTCTTTGAACTTCCTTTGATATATATTAACCCTACAACAAATTGTATAAAACATATACATGTCGCTTTGCATCCAAACTCTAATCTCTTAAAATGTGAAATCTTACAAACGTGGTCTATAGCGACATGTAGGGATCACTTCTCCGTCGTCTGTCTGTCAGTCAGTAAGTCTGCCTGTCCATTCCAAAACTAGTTTGGCTACTCATAAGAAACTACTAGTGCAATTTCATCCAAACATTACAGGAATAATCAACACCATGTTTATTTATGAAAATCGTCGGCGATTTTTAGTTCAATGATTTTTGTCAGAGTTATGACCTTTTAATGATTTTGATCAGTAATTTAATAGGAATGAAACTTTACATTACTGATACTTGAGCATATTACACGGGTTTTCTTGTTGAATGGTTTGGGCTGAGTTACGACCCTTAACTAAAGGCGTGTTCGCCTGTTCATGTTTTGTGTTGCCTGCAACACAGTAGCTGAAACATGAAATAAAGTAACCACGACTTCGTAAGTATGTCTGTTCATCCGTCAGTATCTTTGACTGTATGTCTGTCCGTCTTCACCTCAAAAACAAGTTTATCCAAACTATACTGGAATGATCAGCACTAAGTCTAGTTGCGCATATCTCCGGCTTTTTTCAGTTCTCTATTATTGTAAAAGTTATGATCCCATATTTCATTTATTCATTTTTTAAAATATTTTGCCCAGACTTCTTCTCTTATACCATCAATGCAATCAATGAGTGGAAAATTACAGAACTAGATATAACTCAAGTACTTGAGCATAATTATTATGTTTTCCATTTAAATAATATATGGCTCATTGTAAATGTTGTAATTATTATGTTACAACGTCAAAAGTTATGTTTCTGTAGATAAGTTTTATCTCCTTTATTTACTATAACGCCATATATTACCAATACATTAAGTTTAGCAGAAGTTAACTCGATTCAAATTTCTAAGATGCTTCTGACCTGTATGTATGGATATGTTTTATTGGCTGTGTATTCAAAGCTCGGGCTTTGACTTGCCCGGCTTTAGGCTACACATTTATATTTAAAAGGGCATTAAATAATAAACAATTAAAATAAATATTTCTTAACATTATCAGTGAAATTTTCAATCTCATTTCTAGTTGGACGCCGCCATTATTTATATAACTCTGATAATCGACGGTATTCCGAGCAAGTTTATGGCATAAGAATTATCGTCAAGGTGATCCAATCGAAGACGAAAGCTGTGCATGAATACCGAATGACACCTTTTTGAACGAAATATGTAAAATAAAAGATGAACAATATTTTTTATTTGACTTCCTCCTCCATTGGTTTTGCCTACATTCATATTCATATAATTCTTTACTTTGATTGAAGCTTAATACTGATTATATCATTTTCAAATGTTTTAAATTTAGGAAAAAACATCATGTAAGAATTGCAAAATCGTTTAATTTGTTAGAACTGAGATTTGATATTGTTTTTCTAGTCAATTTATGATTTTTTTTATTGTTTCTGTACTCACGTATCAATGTGAAACGTTATTTGCAATACATCCTAATAAAATCAGTCGTGACCTAGTTGTCCTTCTCTTGATACAGTAAGAACTCAATCCACATGATATCTGTGACCGTCTGCTGAATTGGATGACAGTGACCTACGAAGATCTTCTCGACAGTTTCAAAGGACTAAAGCCATGGAGGAATACGTGAACGAACGAGCTGCAGCTCACTTGCAAACATTTAAATGTGAATATGGACGTTGGAAAGCGCATGCAAGTGTTTGCAAAAGAAAGGTGGAAATAAAAGTGGTGAAATAATTACCATATTGAATAAACTTTTTATCTGGTGTATCAGATTTTGACGTTTCTTGTTTCGATAAAATAAAGAAAAGTGAAAATGCTCACACTATTTTCTCGAGAACAGTTTGTAACTCCTGCTTTAACACAGTGCCGGAAATTACGTCACACAGTTTAACTGATCAAGACAAGGATTTATTCACAATATCGCACACTGGACTTTCTGTGAAGAGAGAAACTTTTCAATTGCCTCCTGTATTTTACAGTGCAGTTTCTTCAGATAAACTTGCTTGCTCTATCTAATTTATATAATGTACTCCACACTTGAGCACTATGTGAACTGGTTTTTTCGTCAAAGATTCCACACGGTGAACTTGCTTCTCCACATCTTAATCAGAGCTCCAGTAACACATTTCATGCATCTAAAAATTTAATAAGACCTGCGCTTGCAAAGGCTATCTCGGAATCCCTAAATCTGATTCGATTGTCTGTAACAGAACCTATGATATTCACCGGCGATTCTCTTCAGTTCAGTTTTAAGAGTGGCGAACATCATTTGAGACTGTTATCGTAAGAAAGGGAGTCTCTAAACGAGACATCATTTATTATTTGCACAGATATGACTGTGCAAGAAAGGTTTTAAATGAACGCTATGAACATACATTTGTTATACAAAAGGCATTCAGAGACAAACTCGACAAATGACCAAGAATTGCATCTATAAATCCACTTGCCCTGAGGGAACTGGCCGACTTTCTTGAACGTTGCCGAGATGCCACTCCTAATGTTCATAATTTGAGCTTACTTGATGATTGTACAAAGAATCTAAAATATTAAGCAAACCACCAGAATTTATTACAACAAGGTGGAACAGAGAGATCCAAACTTTATCCAAAGTTCAGTCAATTTGTAGACTTAATAGTCAGGGCAGCAAAAGTATTATGCAATCCTCAACGCCTATCGAAAGAAGAGGCCATATGCTGTCTGCAAACACTTTTACAACCACTGCGAACAAATCATCTATTTATAGAAAGAAAGCTAATTTGATACAACGACTATGTGACTATTGTAATAGAAAGGGTTACTTCATTTAGGCCTGCAATAACCTTAACTCGTTAACGATTGAAAGGTAAATATCATTTAGTAAGGTTTGTTTGTTTTGCTTGTTTGTTCCATTTTACGCCTTTCTCCAACAGTATTTAATTTGTATAGGCGGGAAGTTTCCTAACCATCTGTTCTGGAGAGTTACACCAGTACTAGACTACCTTCCTCCGTGCTAAACTACCAAAGCACCATCCGGGGATCGAACCCACGCCAGAAAGGTAACTGCATTAGAACTCATCGACTCTAACCCCTCGACCACGGAGGCGGTCGACATTTAGTTAGGATTATTGCAATAGTTATGGTTGCCTCGGAAAGGGTCAAAGGAATCATGAATGTCGGAAGAAGCTGACCTGTAGCGTGTGTAAAGGCGGCTGCCATCCAACGTGTGTGTATGAGGAAAGGTCTAACAAAGAAACATGTGAAGCCGGCAATGATTTTATGAAGGCCGCAACGTCATTCAAGGTTAAGGGAAATGCATCAATTGAAAGACATATTGTGCTTATATCCAAGGTTCATAAACATTCATGTGAGGTTCTAACATATGCCTTGTTTGATACTCAGAGCGACATAATCTTTATCTATGACGATACGTCAGCAGCCTAACAAGTTAAAAGAAAACCCATCAAGCTAAGTTTATCAACAATTACCTCACAGCAAAGAGTCATTGAAAGTAAGAGGATAACGGGACTAATGGTCCGTGGATTACGTCAACAGAATAGTGACTACAATCTGTGCGAACACAAGGGGATTTATTCCAGTTATTCGTTCGCATATGCCAACAAGAGAAACTGCAAAACTTTGGCCACATCTTAAAGAGATAGTCAACGAAATACCACATTTGCGGTCATGTGTAATTTGACTTCTTATTGGGTATAACTGCCCGTAACCTTAAGCACAGAATCGGACAATAACAGGTATGGAGGACTAGCCATACGCAGTTCAAGCGACCTTCGGTTTGATTATTGAAGGAAATACGGATCTTCTGATTAAATCTGGTATTGTTAGCGGATTATGTCACTGCGACTCTAGTAAGAAACTCCCTCCTAGCATATCAAGGGAAATTATAAATGTATTTGTATCAGACTTCAAGGATGTATCAAAAAACACTTTTGTTTAATTTCTTAAACAATTCGGGAAAAACATACATAAGAGAAACAACTAGAACTATCGCTGAATGCGATTCATACCCCCACTTGACAGAAGACAACTTGGAAAGGTGGTTAAGAGAATAAATTTAGTGGCACAAATACATATACATAAAAAGAAATTATCTCTGGTGAAAAAAAGACTATTTGTACAGGTATTAGTATAAATATATCTTGTCAAATCATGTTCGAAACAGTTACAGATAATCTTTCATTTTCCAAATGTACTACATATTTTCTAAGTCAATATTTGACCTTAAAGTGTGGCCTTGACCTTAAGCTGGCACAAGGGTAAGATGGGTTCTGCACATTGCCCAGTTGGGGTGAACATTTGAGTAAAGTTTGAAGAAAATCCTTTCATTAGTATAGAATTTATAGAGCGGACATAATATATTGTCTAGTAA